TTTTTTTTGGGGGGGGGGGGGGGGGGAAGCGTTTGAGCTTCCCTTTTTATTGGGGACGATGAAGAGGAGGAAGCCACTCGGAGCTTGTGTTGAGTGGAAAGAAAAAGAAAAAAAAAACATTTGTGTTGCAACAGGCATAGTATACTTTACTCTGGTGATCAGTGGTGATCAATTCATACTAATGATCAGTTAACTAAATTTTAACGTTTTGTAATCAACTTCTGAATAATCAAAAGGGCTCTTTATTCATGAGGGTCCCAGGGGAACTCGTCAACGTGAACCAAGCATCTCAGCTAAAACCAATTCTTCCGAAATGAGCCCCGCTTATGATAGTTTTTGGCAAAACGCGAGGTTGCCTGATGAATCTACACTGCATATCATTTTATGTATGATCGCATTAGTCCCATGGATGCAAATGCAGCCCTGACGGAACCGGCACACATTTTCCTTCTCCGAGGCGGATAGACATAATGAAACATCTCTCATAAAAATCAAAATGGTCAGCTGTAATTGGCCAAAACCTTCAAACTTGGAAACGGTCTAGTCACATGGGACTCAATTTTTTGGTGTCCCAAACTTACAAACGTTGTCATTATCTTTGCCCTGTTTATTTATTTATTTATTTATTGAAAGTACCCTCAGGGCCCGAAGGCATTACAGAGGGGGGGAGCACATACATGAAACAAAGATAGTAATATAGTAACAAGTCAACAATATTAAATGTACAACAAACAAAGGATAATAATAATAATAGGTCATGGGTCACTGCTAAAATAGCTAGTGATGGAATTTCTAAACAAGTTAGTATCAGTTATAGTAGCAATCAAACCGGGGAGGTTTGATTGCTACTAATCTCGAAAGTGTTCTTCATTTCTTTACTTGAGACTGCACTGCAAATGCGTGTTTTCTCGTTTGTCGCCTTCTTTTTTATCGTCTCTACGTCGTAATCGGTAGTCATTTAGTGCGCAGTTTAACGAAGTAATCAATAGCCAACTAGACCATTTCCCAGAACTGGAACCCTTCAGTTTTAGTTTTGCTCATCGAATGCGATGATATTTGAAAGCAGGTAAAGATACTTTGTGTTGGCGACTGTTTATTAACACTTATTGTTCTAAACTTTGCAGGCTGAACTATCCGCAAATCCTCTTAACGCAAGTGTGCGGAACCCTTCGCTTCCTCAGAAAGACGGCCAGCCACCAGCCAGGTCAACGTATGGCGCTGCCAGACCTTTGGGCTACATTCTTTCCCAGACGAATGGGACTGACTAGTCAGATCAAATAGGGAATGGCCACAGCTGAGCCAACTACCTGCAACATTTCAATTATCTTCCTTACCTTTGTTCGCCGACACAGCATGTACGTTTTGTTGACGTGTAATTCCCAAAACCTATAGCGGTGATATACCGTACAGTTGTTGCTTTTGTAACATACCTGCCTTTTATCAGCACTACGGAGCAGGAGCGTTCTAATTTAACCACGGTCCTTGACCGTACCCAGTTGTGTGTTCCTCGATTTGTGCGGGTCTGTATGGGCGTAATCCTTTACCGCATGTTTAAAGTTGAAGTCAAACCTTTGAAGCATGTGCTTAATAGAGAATGATCGCTTTTATGTTTCGTTCACGTGCGTTTTTTAGAATCGACGTTTTCGGGTTATTCAGTATCTAGTTATGATGCTCGTGTTTTTTCGTGATCTGATTATTTTAAATTTTGGATTACACCGCAATACGAATGTAAACCCCTGAATTTCTCTACTTTATCTGCACGATGTGTCTCTGTTTGCTTGTTCTTTGAGTACGTTCTGGTTGGGCTTCTCTGTTGGTGTAGTATAAATAAAAAGAAAAGACCAAAGGGAAATTTGACCTTCACGCCTAACAAAAACTGCCCACGCAGCATTCGACTACGAATGGCAAAGAACGGACTGCGAGGACAAGGGGGCGGAGCTCTCATTCCAAGGAGCAGAATTCCATTGGCAACCATGGAAGATGGACCAGGAGGGGAGGACGGACGGCGGTGCGACTTCTGCACCCAATCTTATGGTGCCCACAGAACTAACAGCACCTGGTATGAGAAGACGCAAACGGGACAATACTTATTCAGCTTCGCACCCTCTTAGAACACGCTTACGTATTCATGAACGGTCCCACACGGATAGAAAACCTTTTTCAAGGCTTGGCTTTCCCAGAAGGTGGAAAATGTGAGGAGTCTTATGTGGTACACAAAGTTTCCCTCATGTGGACACGTAATTACGTTTTAATTAGCGGCCTGCACCAGACAGAAAGATGGTACTACAACAAGATTCAAAGTTGTTTTTCTTTGGAAAGGGGGAGGTGGTCCGAGAAGTCCGAGAACTACAACTGAAGTGAAAGTAAACAAACAAACTGGGCTCTACTGAAGGAGCATTCACTTCGAGCACTCGAAGTTTCAATAGCGACATGTTATTCGATATCAGAGAAATGCACCGTGCTGACTTGTTGATTTATATTACAAAATTGTCCTTTTTCCTTTAGTTTCGGTTGACCGAGGAGCCCTCAAAAATGCTATGACTTTTTTTTATTTTTTTTAAGCATGAAATAGCTTAAAAAAGGTTTGGCTGTTTCAAATGATTGTGGCTTTTCTCACAACAATATTTGTGTCGCCTAAGTTTAGCTTTAGACTGGAAAATATCCATATCAATGTCGATTCCGAACAGCGTTTTTCGCGGTTTCACATCGCTCCTAAAATAATCGTTGTGTATCTTAGCAAATTTTCATTTTGCTAAGGTACTCAACGATTCTTTTACTAGCCTTTCGAATGCTATTTTGTGTAATCTAATAATCTGCGCTCTAAAAGAAGCACGAGCGTCTACTTTCCCGCACAGCACTTGGAGAGCCGATCGCCACAACTTACGGAGGCAACTCAGCGAATGACGATGTCGAAACACATGTTGAGACCAAAAAACGCAATCTGAGTTGTGGCGTTAAGAAATGCAAAACGTCCCGCTTGCATTGCTTAATGTCACAACTCAGACTGCGTATTTTAGTCTAAACATATGTTTCGGCATTGTCATTCGCTGAGCTGCCTCCGTAATTTGCCGTGATTGGCTCTCCGGTTGTTGTGCGGGAGAGTAGACGCACCGGCTTTTCTTTAAGTGTGTTGTTGTGAGGAAGACTCAGCGTTACTTAATACCCATTCGCAAACATTAGGAATGTCAACGCGTTATCACCAAGAGCTCAGTACTGGCAGCGTTATTCAGAGGCAGTAGAAAGTTTTAGTAGAGCGTTTCCGCAGCCCGCTAAGCACCCGCATAGCGTTCCGTAATCCGCCGCATGACCTTGAACTGTAGACAACGCTAACGGCGCGCACGCGCAGTGGCGGCGTTTTCTTTATGGATACCGTAGCGGAAGAGAAAAACGAAAAACAACTCCCTAGTGTTTTAGGCGTTACCGTAAAAAAGTAATGAAATACGGTACTTGTTACTTGCGAAATAGAAGAACGCATTATTGTTACCGTTACGGACAAAAAGTAATGCACGTTACTTTTGCGTTACTTTTTTATTTATAAATTCACAATAACAACGTCTTTTTGTGGTTTTCTTTTTCTTTCGGTGACAGCGTTTTTTGCCAGCGGGATAACGGGAGCGGGCGTTGGGGTTTTTCTAATGTGGAACTTTTTGCTTGGCAAGCACAGCAAGATTTTGAAAATAAGTAGAATGAGTGCAATAATGAATTACTTGGATCGCGTGCTACGTTCCAGCTTAACTCTAGACGCAGCCGACGCTACAAGCTAATGGGAGCAATCAAGCTCCATCAAAAGCTCAAGTCACTGGGCCTTTTTAGTTTGTGATTGGTTCAGCGATGATAGAACAGGTTCAGAGACACGCCGAGCACCATGATGGCGCCCTTTTCACTCCTTCTGATTGGTACCATGAGCTTGTAGCGGCAGCTCCGTCTGGACTTAAAGGGGCCCGCAATCCTATTTAGTCTTTTTATGCGGTTTTCACGTCTCTTGTGGTTCGGGCAACCCAGCGGGCACGGAGAGAGTAACTAAATATGAGTGCGTCCTATTTCACCCGGACGTCGCGGAAGTCTCCTCCACCTACAGGGGCGCCCCGTGCTGCCGAACGCGCGCAACATGCGACGACATCGTGACGTTTCAGGTCCTGGCCAGCTCCTGCCTTACGACTAACGACAGTCGCTAAAAGCTCTATTTTGTTTTGTGGCGCGAACTGTTTCGACTATTTATGAAAGTAGTTTTTCCTAAGTATATTAGATCAGAAGAGAAACAAAGGCAGTTTATAAAGTACGCAAACAAGAAATGACTTGTCGACATAACCACCACAAAGTGGTGAAAAAAGGCGGCGCGTACTGAAAGGTGCAGTGGGATCAGGCGCCGACGCGCGCGCCGCACAGCTGTGAAGCCGCGAGCGTAGAAAGGTCCCGGATGTACGCGGCGGCGCTACAGAACTGTCCTCTACCCCGTGTTTGCGGTCGCTTGTGGCCAATGAAGTGTCATGCCGCCACCTGCTTCATCCAGCCAATCCAGCACATGCTTTAGTGGCGCCTTATCGAGCCATAGACACGGAGTGCGGCAGCCGTGACGCTCGCTCAGCTCACTACCTCTCCTCTAGTTAGAGGCCACCTAAGCCAGGACCAGGGACGTCATGAAGGAAGTTACTATGTTCAGTGTGCTCATGTTCGGTGCCAATTAAAAACAAGTCAAAAAGTCGTTGCAGGGCCCCTTTAAGGTACAACCAAATATAGAAAGGCGCAAAAAATATAAGTGTACCTTTTTCAGCTTTTCGGAAGAATATGTATCGGGTAACGTTGCTAGGTTATTCGTTACTTGAAATAAGTAACGTAAGTACGTTACCCGTTAGTGTTTTGGAAAAGTAACGATTACGTTACTACGTTACTGAAAAAAGAAAGGCGTTACCGGTAACGACGTTACTTTTAACACATTACCGCCAATATTATGCCGCGGCGGCCGCAGTGGTTTGAGTTCCCTTCCGCACTTGGTTAGCAGAATGCGTAAGCCAGCACAGCTTTTGCACCATGGGGCTGCCTGTACAAGCATTGCGAATGAACCTTTTTAACGTCTCAAATGAATAAATACCTTATTTACACCGCACCGGGATGATGCAGGCATTCATACTAGGTACTCAAAATTCATGTTCAAAACGATAAAAACAGCTCACACCTTTCTTGCTTTGTCGTGCCATCCCAACAGACTGGATCGAAGCATACTATGGCGACAAAGTGGATACCTTTGACCGTGACAGCCACAGATGCGACACCTCTCCCCAGACCAACAATTCGGGCCCACACAAGCAGCAAACGCACCGACAACCGGACAAGCACCCGTGCCGCTTCTGTCCTCACTCAAGCTCTTCCGCAACGGCTGTCGCCATTCACGAGAGGACGCACACTGGCGAGAGGCCCTTCACTTGTGGTGTTTGCGAGAAAAAGTTCACGCAGAAGTCTCATTTGATAGCTCACGTTAGAATTCACACCGGAGAGAAGCCGTTCAAGTGCAACACGTGCAGCAAGACGTTTTCTCTGAAACGCACCTTGGCGGTTCATGAGAAGATTCACACCGGAAAAAAGCCGTTCAAGTGCAACACTTGCAGCTGGGCGTTTACTGAGAAAGGCACCTTGGCGGATCATGAGAGGACTCACACCGGAGAGAAGCCGTACAGGTGTGATACCTGCAGTAGAGCCTTTACGGCTAATAGCGGTTTACGCCAACATCGGAATAGGCATCACAAGTGACCGAAACCCTCACGAGCATCATAGTTCTGGAGGTTATTTAAACGAAATACTCGAGCACCGACGCGAGCTCATTTTGTTTGGCGATAGACCTGCAGGGGTTCTACTTGCGAGCAGTGTGTGTTTCGCATTGTTTAAAATATTTCAGCCTCTCATTTAGTGAGTAAACAGAAATAAAATTATGATTTTACCTTAGAAGCGACCAGGGTTCTTTATTGTACACGAAAAATAAAAATATCAAAAGCATACTATTTTTTATTCATTTATTAATCAAGGTGCTGCGACTGCAGTTTCAGGGTTGTCTGTAGGATCATTTACGTTGCTTACAAGTCGGCCTACTCATACACAAAAGTACGATATAATAAAATAAATGAGGTCTTTCAATAGCAGTAATCTTGGACGATGTAAAAGTTAAGAATGTATCAGAAAAATCGAGTAATGTGGAGAGGCCAACACAGCTTTGATATAAAAATAAAATTATATTGAAAACTGATTAGTACACCGATCTGGAAGCTAGCGCTTTGCGCATAGTACTGGAATAGGATATACAAGACTCGATTAATTATGAGTCTTGTATATCCCCCCCCCCCCCATGTCTAAAACGCGCAACGTGCGTGCGCCGCCACGCATTGCACGTAAAGGTGCGTCTTCACTCTGGCACCGACGTCAAAAAGGCAGACCTCATGTGACAGTCCTGAGGCTTTCTTATCTAGACTTCTCTACATGCGATGCGTAGCGGCACACGCACGTTGCCCGTCTTATGTTTCATTCCAATCGTAGATCCGGAGTGCTTTCCGAAATTCACGAGGGAGGCGAAATTCCGCTCCGTGGGACCCGCTTCGAATCGACGAGGGAAAGATGAACTCGCATTTTTGGAGCGACCGTTACGGTTACTTTCAAAACCTAACGAACTTTATTTTTGCGTTAGTTTGAATTGCACTATTATTTGGCAGCGAAAGGACGATGAGATGAACTTAGACAACGCTTCAACTACTACAGAGCAAGTCGGCGAACCAGTGCACGCGCTGTTGGGTACGTTCAGATTGAAGATCGCGAGCCGATTCGCCGATTCTTTGAATGAGTTTGTTCTAAAGGCCCTTCAAACCCAGTTTTAAGTACTCTTAAAACGGGGTTATTAAAGGTGTGACACGAAGCAGTTCTGACATGAAGAAATTGAAAAAAAGAGGAGAATTATTTACAACGACAAAGCCACTACGTTTATACCGTGGAGAAATGTTGGGACCGAGTTTAGTGTAATGAATAGTAAAAGAGGCGACGCTCGTATGGCTGAAAAAAAAAGTATATTTCGAATAACGATAAGTCAAATGCACGCTGTAGGCAAAGCAAAATAATAACCAAAACAGTAGGCTAACGACTGTCACACAAAACGGCAATGATAGTATACGGAAAACGGGGACAGAGTGTGCGTCGACGTGAGTGGCTATAGTTTCCAGGAGTCCTCCCTCATCTTCGATGTCTCCGACACGTGCGGGAAGTGTTTCTCGGCACCTCGGGCTTGGTGGTTCCCTTCCCCTTCCCTCGCCCGTCCGAGCTCGGTGAAGGGACGCGCGTAGCCTCGGTACTTAACTGTCCTGCCCGCGGCTCGGGTTGTTCCCAAAGCCATGGGCCGCAGACGGCCGAGTCTGTAGCGGCCACAGTCATAAATATTACGAGCCACGCTTTCTCGTAACTCTGCCCAAAAACAAACCAAACTCAAAAACATACGAAAAAGACCTTAGAACCTAGCAGGGTTGTTTCTTTGAAAACGGCGGGGAATGTTTTGGGTTTGGAAGGCCAACTGTTTCCAGGGCCAAAGGGCAGATCCGCGGGCAATGGCTGTCTGGGAAAGGGAAGTTCTGTGCTTGGTGGGCGAACCTGGGTTAGAGTGTGAGGAACAAAGAGCAGTGCGAGAAGACACTTGGAGGCGAACGGACGCATTGCGTCGTCGAGCGGGGCGACGAGACCACTGTCGACGGCCTCACGCCAAACACAGTTTGGAGTTCCATCGAGTGTGTGCGTGCCATCTCAAGAAGTGGGTGCAAGACCAGGGAGCACAGCCCATAGTGAGCCAGTCAACAACCGGAACTCCTCCACCTTGGACGGACCGCGCTGGGAGACGTCGTCTACCATCGACCCGTCCGATGAGAATTTCGGCGCTCGCCGTAACTTTTTGAAATTATCATATTTTGATTCGGTTAATCGTAGTAAATTTATCAGTTTCTAAAAACATCCGTGAACACAGATTTGTGACCCATGCTTTTGTAAGATTTATATTCAATATTACAAAAATGATTTGTGTAACTTTCTGACAGTGTTACTTTCTGGCTACCATTAAATTAAAGTTTCTTCGTGCTTTTGTCTTATGTCTCCATCTCTTTTCATTGGTCAGACTCTCTACCAGAGCAGGTCGTTAAAGATAAGGACACGGTGTAGGTGTGTGGATAAGGATAAAGAGACGTGGGCGGAATCCGAGCATCAGTAACGTCACTTGGCCATATCGTGGCTTAAAATCATAATTGCCAGTTACCTCAAGCTTTTTTTCTAATATCACAGGAAACGCTTTTTCGTCCTCCGCAAATGTTTAAACAGTTCGCGACAAAGCAAAGCATTATTACATGACCTTTCTAACACCGAATCTAATGCTAATGATGTCTCACTTTTTAATCTTGACGATGGGAAGTTGCGCCTGCTCTGCACAAGCACCAAAATGGTGGCGCATACAACAACGCCAAAAACGTAGTGCCGATACTCTAAGTGCAGCTCATTTAATGGCTTTCATTTAGTGGCTCTAGCGCACACCATCTGGGAACACGTGGAGCCAAAGCTCGCGCTGCAGAACCCAGCATCCCGGGTTCAATCCCCAACACTGCCCGTTTCGATCTGGATGAGCATCGCACCGGCGTGCGGTCGTGTATCAAAAATTGTAGTTGTGTGTTTGTTTATACAGCCAAGAACTTGAGTTGCTTCAACAGGCGACGAGTCTCCCAGCTGTAGATGAGAAACTTAGCCAGTGCAGTACAACCGCTAGCCTGGGGTCTTTAACGTGCATCACGCTGTAGTGATACGTGCACGACCACACGCCGGTACGATGCTAATCTAGATCGAAACGGGCAGGGGTAGGGATTGAGCCCAGGATCCTGGGTTCTGAAGCGCAAGCTTTCGCTCCACGTGCTCCGAGCTGATGTGCGCTAGACCACTCGGCCACCGATCTCCCTTCAAGCATACACAGGATTTCACGCATACACAGGAAGAACACTCACGCAGCGCTGACTGACAACTCAAGTGTATTATGCATCATCTTCATCTTTCCTTTTCTCTTTTTCATATGATCCTTGGTTTTGTTTCACTGCCATTTGCATCGGAGCAAAAAAAGATGGAGATGATGCATAATATACTTGAGTTGTCAGTCAGCGCTGCGTGAGTGTTCTTCCTGTGTATGCGTGAAATTACTTTTAAGTGTGTCTGATCTTGTGCGCTGTGAAGCAGTATCATGAATATTAGATATACTTCGTCTCACCTTAGCATGGACTATTGTTAGCCGCGCATCCTAAAAGAGCGAGCTAGTTGCTTTGGATGAAGCCTCGGCGGCTGCACGAACGCTCGTGCAGGATCTCGTCATGGTAGTCAAGGCTACCCGCTCGCGCTTACACAGCCTTTGCCGTTATCCTCTAAGGTCACCGACATATCTCAGCCAAGAGCGCGCTGTGACGAAGCTGAGGGCACAACGCGCCGATCTAACCTTCTTTTCTTTCGCTTCCGGGATGCTGAAAAAAAACAAAAAAAAACGTTCTTAAGTTGTGCCTCGAAAACAGACAATTAAGGCTGCGGTCCCACGGCAGCCATCTTGAACAAGGCGTTAGTTCAACCAATAGATGGTGACACACACCCGTGGGGTGGCCGAAACATTGGTTCACAGTGGGATGGCTCGAGCACCATCACGTTCCCCTCGTGGCCTTGCTCGCGCCGCTGCCAGCTGTGCTCAGCTAGCTCAAGTAGCGTGGCCCAGCAAATGGATGTCTGCGAGAATGTCAGGCTGGGTATAAATTCTTTTCTGATATAGGGACATACGGTTCGGCGGTTGTAACAGGCTTTCGCAATAAATCTTGCCAAGAAGGAATCAAATGTTGATTGACGCGCCAATATTCTATCAATAAAAATTTCCTCTGCAGGAATGCACGCTTAGTAGACTCAACCAGTGGAAGCGGACGTCAAGTAAACTGCTTCGCGATTTACGGTGCTTACCTCACCATTTTAATGACGACTAAAATAACGTCACGAAATATTGTGTTTCACGGGGTCCGGAAGATGTTGTAAAGGTTGTTACATTATAGTTCCCGTAAAACAAACGCCGTTGCAATATTTTCGGAAGTACCGACACACATAATGTTGTAAGTACAGCTTAGGAAAACCATCAGAAGGAATAGGAAGACGTTTATTTGAAATGAAGACGCTATTAATGAACGGCGTTTAGCAACGGCAAGTTATGAGTGTTCGGGAATTTATAAGTTGACGTGATTGCTAACTATGGACATGCGAACAATGAAGCCCTGTTTTGTCGGGAGATGGTGTTGCGGTGATGACCTCATATCGGACGACTCATGGCAGACGAACAAGCAAGTTTCTTCTCAGCGAATGGTAAGTGTCCAGTGTCAAGCACAATACGTGGCTACCAACGTTGTCGACGTTTCGAACACTTGCCGCTTTCGACAAAAGTCCTGGAACCTGGGTTAACTTTGTGGAAAGACTGGAAGTCTTCCTTGAATCCAAAGCCATCATGAACAGTAACTGAAAACGATACACTATTCAGTCGGTGGGTGGCGAAACGTATCTATCTATGGAGCCATGGGCGATGCGTGCTCTAAGTGGCTGGAAGTTTACATGATGCCTCCCACGACGTCCAAACACGTCATTGACGTTCTACGGTCTCTTTTACCTACTTTTGCCCTACCGAAAATACTTTTCTCTAATAATGCGCAAAATTTTGCTTCAAATAAAATAAACAA